GGGGGAGCCGCAGTACCTGGCTCGGCGGCCCCGGGGCAGCGCAGGTACAGCCTCGGAGTCACCAACGCCTCAGCGGCGGGAGCGCAGCGCGAGCGGAGAGAAACGCGGCGGGGAGGCCGCCGGGATGCTGGGCCGTGGGGCGCTGTCCCCTCGCCCCTGCCCCGGGTTCACCTCAGCCCTGCCCGCGGCCTCCTCAGCCCGGGACCCTCGAGCCCCGCGGCGGCCAGTAGACACCGAGGGAGGGCACCTGGGGGCCCCGGAGGGCCGGGAACGGTCGGGAGTGGGCCCAGAGCTCGGGGACTGTCCCCACCCAAGTCCTCTGTGTCCCCTGCCCGGTCCTTCCTGGTCCCGGGACCCGGGCACAGCAGCCTCGGGGTCTCAGGCCGCCTTTAGGCCCTTGGGGGAAGGGGGTCCTTTGGGCGCCCAGGGATCTGGGGGCTCAGAATAGGGAGTGGCCCACTGGTCCAAGGCGGGGACTGTCCCTGCTGGGGTCTTGCAGGACCCTAGCGTCAGGGCGACCTGAGGTGTGTGGGCCGGGCTCGCCCACCGCAAGTGTCTTTTTGGTTTTGTGAACTTTCCACGTTTACTTCTTACCCGCGGGAGCTGAAAACGGGGGCGGGGAGGAAGAGAGTGTCCCATCTCTGGCCCTCGCCCTCCCCACCCTGCCCTTGTCTCTATCCTGCCTGCACTAGGAAGGGGACCTGCCAGTTGAAACCTATTTTTGCCTTGGGGTTTAAAATGACAATAATAACACTGATTAACCCAAGGATATTTTGGTTAATTGCACATAGCAGGCCAAGGTGTGTCACAGGAACACGTACCAATGTTTCCAAGAAACGAACCTGTGCTTGAAACTACCTCTGTTGAGAGCCAAAGAATCACTTTTAAAGTCAAAGGAAAGTGACCAGACCCGCGTTCTGCCAGGGCCTTCCTGACTTTCTCTTTCCCATCTTCCATACAGTTTGATTCATTACAGGGAAATTATATTAGGATTTTATCGTTGAGGGAGAAAAGGACCCAAAGCTACTTTTCCTCTTTCTTAGAGGGCTGTGTGTTAGGTCCACCCTAACCTGTCACAGTGGGGAAAGTGCTTGCTAAGATCCTTGCTTGTCAAGGATTCTGACGTGAAGATTTGGGTCCCAGATCTCAATTCCCAAATCATTATTATTAACATATATTATTACTATTAAACGTTATTATTAACATAAAATGTAAATATGTTAGCACAGGATTTTAGAAGACTTATCAGAATCTGAAAACAGTGGTTATTCTGGGATGTGAGATTAGGAATGGTTTCAATCCTAGCCTATGTTTACATTTATATGTACTGAGCCTACTACTGTCCTAGAGGGGGGATACAACAGGGTGCAAAAAAGAAAAAAAAGCCTTGTCCTCAAGCAGCTTAGACTCCAGTTAAGAAAGCAGAATTCAGTCAGATAAATACACTGATGAATTTATAACTATAAGAGAACTCTAAAGAAGGGGGTTGGGGGGCTGGTCAGGGAAGGCTTTCCTAAAAAAGTGAGCTTGGGGCTTCCCTGCTGGCGCAGTGGTTGAGAGTCCGCCTGCTGATGCAGGGGACACGGGTTCGTGCCCCAGTCCGGGAAGATCCCACATGCCGCGGAGCGGCTAGGACCGTGAGCCATGGCCACTGAGCCTGCGCGTCCGGAGCCTGTGATCTGCAATGGGAGAGGCCACAACAGTGAGAGGCCCGCGTACCACAAAAAAAACAAAACAAAACAAAAAAAAAGTGAGCTTGAGCTGAGATGGGAAGGAAGGATGAATAGCGCTTACCTAAGCAAAGGGGGGTGGGGTGGGGACGGGGTGGTGGAGAGAGCCTTCCAGATAGGGAATAGTATGTGCCAAGGTCCTGTGGTACAAGAGAAATTGCAATCAGTGTAGCTGAAGAGCACAAAGGAGAAAGGGAGGCTGGATGGAGAAGGAGGCTGGGGAGGTAGGCAGGGCCAGACTATATTTAGCACTTATAGACCATGTGAAGGAGCTTCATTTTTGTCCTAGGAGCAGAAAGAAGGCATTAGAGGGTGGAGGGTGACCAGATTTGTGTTTTGAAAAGTTTACTGTGGCTGCCTAGAGGAGAACTGATGAGGGGACAAGAGGCCAGTGGATTTGGGGAAGAGGAGAGGGGGGTGCGCTTTGCTGCAGAGCAAGTGAAATATGCCAGTGGCTTGGACCCGCGTGGTGGCAGAGATTAGAGAAGCAAATGCATCTGAGAGATATTTAGGTTGTAAAATTGACAAAACTAGGTGATTGACACCAAGGGGAATTAAGAGGATTTTTGTATTACTGTTAAAATAAAACAAAAAATAAAAATGGTCTATCTGAAAATGAAGCTTTTCAGAATTAAAAAAAAAAAGTTTGTATAGGAAAATTTAACCAGGATGTAAGCTGTTGAATTAGCATCACAAAGCAGGTCGGCAAATCCCTGGGCTGTTCTTGAAACCGAGCAGGACCCTGTGGTGCTCTTGGGCACGGAAGCCTTTCTGTTCCCCCCCCCCTTTCTTGTTTGTAGGGAACAGACTCCAGCCTCCATGACCGTCCCTCAGTTCCAAAGGGCAGATTTGAACAGCTGCCAATCAGGGACGGGAGGGGATGCAGAGACAAGGGAGGAACACCCAAGAAACAATAGTGCAGCCTTGGGGCAGGTCCTGGTTCTGCCTCAAGGGATGCACATGACAATATCTTTAAGCTCTTTATGGAACTAAAACCCCCAACAAAAGGAAAATGTCAGCATTCTTCATTCCAGAGAAGCTTTTCAAGAAGACCACGTGAGGCCAGATTAAAGGAACCACAGAAACTCATCAGATTACCTGAGACCAGATTAAAGGAGTGCAGGCCCTGCGCACACCCTAATCTTATCAGCAGCCCCATCCTTGAACTATAGCTATAAAACTCCTCACCAAAACCTCCTGGGTTGGGACATATAGTTTGTGAGGGGCACGAGCCCACTGTGTCCCCCTTTGCCTGGCAAAGCAATAAAGCCATTCTTTTCTACTTCATCCAAAACTCTCCGAGATTTGGCACTGGCACACAGATACCGAGTTTCCGGCATCATTCTGAGACCAGATGATACCAGGACTTTAAGTCACTCTTGGTCTCATCTCTACTAGGAATGTTCTGGAATTTTAAAGTTTTGTCGTGGGCCTCTATTGTACAGACTGCTGCAGCTCCCCCAACCCATCCCCAAATCCATTTGCCCAGTCCTTCTAGTAATAGAATTTGGGGCAGGACCTGAGGCTGCCCAAAGGAAAGACTAGGTTTCTCATCACCCTTGCGGTTGGCAGGGACATACGACAAGTTCTGTCTAAAGCAACATATGTGAAGGTGTCACGTACTGGCTTGTAAGAACCTTTCTCTCTTCTTTGTTCCTTTTGCCATCCTGCTGCCTGGAATATGGGTGCCACCACCTTGGGCCACAAGGTTGAGGCCACACAGGACAGAGCAAGGAG